GAGCTGCACTCAGCCATGCTCTCATTCACCTAGCGTGGAAGCTAGCTGATGAGAGCAAAGGCCACACTCCTTGAACAGGATTAGTCTTTATATGAAATTTATGGTAGTAAAGTCAACAAAGTAGCGTGATGTTCAGCAGAAGGAGGTTGCAATGTCATTGTGACACAGAAAGCATCTTGGTAATAATATTCCAGAGTGCCTCAGCATAACATTCTGAATGTACTCTGGGTGAGCAAGTGCATGGTGCATTTCTTTGAACTTTGGCTTGCAACAGGTGGGTGAGGAGCTCTTGAATGAAGTACTTTTGTCTCGAGGGTGGTCTGTTAAAGCAGACTTTCTGGCAGTACCTTGCCCTACAGCTTAGGATCCAGTACAGAGAAACCAGTGGTTCTGTTGGTCTGGAACTGCCTTTGGTTCTTGATGGCAACAAAGAAGTCTGCAAGGGAATTCTGACTTCCCCATTCTACGGTTTGCCAGAATACACAGCTGCCAGAGGCCTAGAGAGCCAGTGCCGATTTGTCCCTTGCTAGCCACAGTGCTCAGAGGGAGGTGCATGGCTGAAGTGGGCTTTCCTATATTCTTCCTCACAATAGGGTCAGCGGCCCCTGCCCAGAGACTGATTCTCGCCTGCCTCAGCTTCCTGAAAGCCTGGTTGATGTCGCTTTGTGGCAGAGAAAGGGCCAGGGTCACAGTAAATCTGCTTTCTGAAAGCTGTGCTGAAATGACACCAGGATTAGGTCACTGAAACCCTTGTCAGGGTGGAAGGGCTCAGAACCCTTAGGGAGCCCACATACCAGGTTCTAGGAAGAAGCTGCTGGTCTCCAGGTTATAATGAACCTCCTGTGTGTTCTGGCTGCTGCTATCAGTGTGTCTAAAAGACAGATTGTTTTGCTTTAGAGACTATCACATTAGGACGCCTTACACCATGTTAACGACCTAGTGAAAAGAGAGCTAGAAGCTTTCCCCAAAAACGTAATAGACATTTTGCAGGAGACATTTTGCTGATGTTTAGTGGTAAGCAAGGCAAAGGGATATTATGGTTTTTTCCTTTTCTGGAAACCTTCTCACTGCTGTGCCTCAGAAAATCAAGTTTCTCATAGACTTTTCAAAGTGATTTGTCAAAAACATGGCCTAACCCAGGAATACCCCTGGAGCTGTAGGCTGAGGGGGAGAGGTGGCATACATACTCTGTGGTGCTGCCCAAATTAAATGTTGAGAGCTGATGGGAGAATAAAAGTTAATTATTCCAATAAAAGAAAAAAAAGGCCTGGCCTGGTGACTCACGCCTATAATCTCAGCACTTTAGGAGGCTGAGGTGGACCGATCACAAGGTCAAGAGATCAAGACCATCCTGGCCAACATGGTGAAACCCTGTCTTTACTAAAAATACAAAAATTAGCTGGGTGTGGTGGCGCGTACCTGTAGTCCCAGCTACTCGGGAGGCTGAGGCAGGAGAATCGCTTGAACCCGGGAAGCAGAGGTTACAGTGAGCCGAGATCACACCACTGCACTCCAGCCTGGTGACAGAGCAAGACTCCGTCTCAAAAAAAAGAGAAAGAAAGTGAATTAGGGCCAGGAGTGGTGGCTCATGCCTGGAATACCAGCACTTTGGGAGGTCTGAGGCAGGCGGATCATGAGGTGAGGAGATTGAGACCATCCTGGCTAACACGGCAAAACCCCGTCTCTACTAAAAATACAAAAAATTAGGCATGGTGGCACACGTCGGTAGTCCCAGCTATTCAGGAGGCGGAGGCAGGAGGATCGCTTGAACCAGGGAGTCAGATGTTGTAGTGAGGCAAGATTGCGCCACTGCACTCCAGCCTGGCGACAGAGCAAGACTCTGTCTCAAAGAAAAAAAAATGAATTATTCCGCTTAAAATTTCCAATGTAGAAGTGCTCTAAAAAATATTTTATTCTACAAAGATCTGACTCTCTTCCATGAATTGGTTCTGTAATCCAGGTGACATTGTTGACCTTATTGAGTGCTCACTCTTCACAGAACTCTACCAATGGGTATAGAGAGGTTTGGAAACACAGGAACTTACATAACCACAGAAAGATAGAGATTACACGAGGAAAATCATTTTTCTCCTAAAAGCGTTAGTTAGATTCCCTTCAAAGCAGAACGTAAGAAAGGATTTTACGTGCAGGGAGTTTATTTTGGAAGTGATCCCATGAAGCAGGTGTGAGTGGTGGGAAGAATCAGACAAGGAAGGAGGAAAAGTCAATGTATTAAGAGTACAGTTCCAAGGCCACGAGGGCTTGATGCCACCAGAACTTCTGAGAAGCATTCAGGGCACCTCCTAGAACTGCCTATGTGAGGACAGGAGCCTGGCTGTTTAATCACCAGCTTTTGTGTCCCTTCAGGCTAGCCCCAATGGCTTGAGCTCCACCTCCTGTCCAGGCAATACTTGTGGCCCGCAGGCAGGCTCAGAGGAGGCCCTACAGCCAGAAATGGAAAGTCTTCGGGCATATGCTTTTGGTGGGGTGTTGTCAACAGTGAGTCTGCACTTGCCCAGAACCATCTAGTGCAGCTGCAGCTGAAATAAGAGTCTGCAAGCATCTGAAGAAAAGATCAGTGATCCCATACGAAAAGAACCCGGGTGATAGAAATACCACTGGGGCACCTAATCCAGAGATCAGGGAAGGCTTCCTGGAGGAAGTGGTTTTTAAAGCTGAGATAAGGCTGGATATGATGGCTCATGCCTATAATCCCAGCACTTCAGGAGGCCAAGGCAGGAGGATTGATTGCTTGAACCCAAGAGTGTGAGACCATAGCAAGACACTCTGTCTACAAAACGTAAAAAAATTAATTGAATGTGGCACACACCTATAGTCCCAGCAACTCAGGAGTCTGAGGTGGGAGGATCACTTGACCCAGGGAGGTTGAGGCTGTAGTGAGCTGTGATTACACTGCTATACTACAGCCTGGGTAACAGCGAGACCCTGTCTCTAAAAAAGTAAATACTTAAAAATTTGTTTTAATTAATATATTTTAAAAAGGGGTAAATGAAGAGACATTTAAACAGAAAGACATGATAAGCTTTGTGTTTTGGAAAATTCAGTCTAATTACAGCATGTCAGTAGATACCAGGATAGGACCATTGAGTGAGGGTAGGGAAGAACAGGTCAGGGAGACCAGTAAAGAGTCTGTTGAATTATCCAGGTGATCTGAGAATGAGAACCAGGGCAGTAACAGGAAGACGAGAAGGAAAAAGATTTGAGACGCAGTAAGTTTCCATATCCCCAGTCATGCTCCATTTCTGGTAAATTGGTAAAAGAGAATTTTGTGTGTGTGTGTGTGTGTGTGCACGCACATGAGTGTATAACATAGGGATTGAGTTGTCTGGTAAACAATGCTTAGAAGAGATGAATTGAAAGCTCATGAAGAGGTATTTGGAGTTGTCTTAAGCAAACTGGGAAGTAAAATAACTGATGAGAAACTCTCAAGTCACTTCTCATCTGGAGGCAAGATAGCGCAGTGCACCATCTTAAGAGGAGAGATCTTGCCTTGTCCCAGATCTGCATCATCTATTGCTTTGACTCTTGTTTTATCATTTAATCTCTCTGAACTTTGTTTATTTGTCCAACTTAATATAAAGATGATGAAGTTTGCTCAGCCTATTCTGAATGGATCTTAAGCTCAGCATGTACTAGGGTGCGACCCACTAGGGAAGCTAATATCCTCTCCACTACAGTTAATTGAATGAGAATGTTTAGGGTCATTGTTCAGTGCCAGCAGTCTGGTGTTCACTGTGGACATTGGCCTATTGGCTCACCCCCAGCACAGGGGGTGAGTGGTCCTTCACCTGTTGTGTGGTGGTGATGTAGGATTTTTGGAATGGGTTAGGGTGATATAGGTTATTTCAAAGATAATCCTTTCCAACTCTGAGACTAGGTCCTCTGTCACAGGCCTTAGTGAGAGTTAGATGAGATCATGGCCATGAAAGCACTTGGAGAACAAACATTCTAGACAAGTAAAGGTATTATTATCAGTAGACCATGTAACATTAACTCATACTTTTTAAATGTTTAACTTTCTTGCATATCCCGATGAGGCAGAAAATAACTTCCAAGTTCCTACATGCTGGTAGATTATTTCTTTTCATTTCATAAAGAGACCAAACCTTCCCTCATACCACCTTCTTAACGAACTAGCTGCGTTTTGTTTTTCTTATTTTATCTCATACGTTTAACAATGACTGGAAACATCTGACGTGCCAAGACTTGAATTTGGGCATCTGGGGTTTCTCCCACTGTCCATGATAGTATCACCAGCAAGTGGAGCACAGGCTGTACATTCCTCGTGTGAGCTTTCAGAGTGAGGAATGTTCTCCACCTCCTGGGAAAAACCAGGGCCCAGCTCATAGGAGTTGAAAGGAAACTGATTTTAGAACCCTTTTACAGTACTGTGATTTTTCACTCATCAGTGTTGGGAATTGCTTCTCTTTCGCTTAAAAGAACCCCCTGGGGCTTTAAGCTCAAACGATGACAGTGACTCAGAGTGGCTTATGCTTATTGCACCTTGACGCTGTGCCAAGTGCTGTTTTAGCCCTTTACATGTAAGATAAACCTCAGCCTGTGAGTATGCATTCGCTCTGTAGATTAGGAAACCAAGAAACGTGCAGTAAATAACTAGCCTGGAGTCACACAGTTAAGCTGGAAGTTGGACCTTGGCATGTGACTCCAAAGCCCTTCCTGAAGCTCGCTGCTTCTCCCCTCCTTGCAAGCAGAGACCTGCCACAGAGCCCACAGAGGTCTGAGGGAGGCAGGATTTCCTGTTTGCCGTGCAGGAGAGCAGTCAGAGGTGTTAAGCAGGAAAAGCACATTAGAATTCCAGTTTACTTACAGTGCTGTCCGCACCAGGAAGGAAATACCGCAAATATGAACGTGGCTTTCACCAAGATAAATGGCCCCAATCTAGGGGATTCCCATCAGAAAAACTTAACCTGGAGATCAGAGTTTTCACCTGCTATATCTTTCATATTTTCTTTCCTTAGGTTAAAAAGACCAAGTGGCATGAGCAGCCTTTTGGGGAAAATTGGTGCCAAGAAGCAGAAAATGAGCACCCTTGAGAAGTCCAAACTGGACTGGGAGAGCTTCAAGGAGGAAGAGGGGATTGGTGAAGAACTGGCCATCCATAATCGAGGGAAAGAGGGGTAAGAAGGAGTAGGTTACATGCCTTGGAAAATCCTCGGAACCCTGAAATGAAATGATTTATTAGAGACCAAATGCCCACTGTAAGCAAGCGGGAGCTTTTCATGATGGAACTAAAAATGTGAGCACTTTGGTTCATCAGTGAGGCTCTGTTCCATTGTGGGGCCGGGCTGTCACCGGGAAGGCCGCTGCGGATGGAGGGAAGGCGGGGCATGCGAGGAGTACTTCTCTCAGGGCCAGTCACATCTGCCAAGCTGAGTTTGCTGAATTACAGCTCCAGGGGCTGTAAGTTGCTTAGTGGTTGGATCCAGCCCATCGTAGCAGCCTTGGCCTTATCTGAATCATTTGTATTTCTCAGAAGCCAAACCAGTTCAAATCCTTCAGAAACAGAGCCAGTGGACTTCCTAGATGTTGCATTATTGTGGAATTTTTTTGGTCTGTGTCATCATGGCCCAGGGTGGGGCTTTACCTTTGGCTATATCCTGTGTGTTGGGCCAGGCCCTCAAACAGTATACCAGGCCATTGCTTGCACCTCCTCCTCTTCACTGTGGCATACAAAGAGGATGTTCAGAACCTATGTATTCAGTTGTGAAAAGGGTCCTCTCCTTGTTGTATTTGTCTTACTGGTGATTAAACAAAAAAATCAAGAAATGGTGCCCGGGCACGGTGGCTTACACCTCTAATCTCAGCACTTTGGGAGGCCGAGGAGGGTAGATCACTTGAGGTCAGGAGTTCGAGACCAGCCTCGCCAACATGGCAAAACCCCATCTCTACTAAAAATACAAAAATTAGCCAGGCATAGTGGTGCACGCTTGTAATCCCAGCTACTTGGGAGGCTGGGGTAGGAGGATCACTTGAACCCGGGAGGCAGAGGTTGCAGTGAGGTGAGATGAAATCACTGCACTCCAGCCTGGGTGACAGAGCAAGACTCTGTCTCAAAAAAAAGAAAGAAATGGTATTCATAAGTACTTAGGGACCTCAGAAGGCACTAAGGAAGTTACCACGAAAGTGGCTTCATGGCTTCAGATCAACAGTCCTCACCCCTAGCCATGAAAAGAAATGTTGAATGGCCCGCCAGAGAGCCCTGGCTGCCCGGCAGCTCTGCCCCTCACCGGTAAGCTCTTCTCCAGCAGCATACTGGGCACCTCTGAGGCTCAGCTCCTTCACCAATAAAATTGGGCTAGTGATACCATCCTCACTTTGTGGTTGTGATGATCTCATGAGATAATGTATGTATTGCTTACATATATGTAATATACATAAAGCACTTTACAGAACACTTGTCACATAAAGGCTTGCATTAAGTCCAAGTCATTCAAATTGGGTTTTTTTGTTTGTTTTTGGTTTTGTTTTTTTTGAGACAGGGTCTCACTATGTTGCCTAGGCTGGTCTCAAACTTTTGGGCTCAAAGGATCCTCCTGCCTCGGCCTCCTGTGTAGCTAGGACCGCAGGGGCACACCCCTGCACCAGCTCATTCAGGTTATTAATGACAGGCAAGGGACTTAGTGGGTGGTCATATTTCTAAATTAGGCTTCAAGATTGTCTAAATGAACCTGGAAGCTGACTAGTATGTTTTGTTTTGTTTTGTTGTGTTTTAAATAAACATTTAAACAGCTTTATGAGCTTGTTTAACTAGCAGACTTCTAGGTCACTGTACGCTGGAATGCTACAGGACAGGGAGAAGGAGCCAGAGTGATCTGGGGAAGGCTCTGGATGAAGCACGATGTTGTCTCTTCACAAGTGGCAGCTCTGACATGTGCCCCAAATCTCTCCATTCAGATTCAGCTCTAGTAACTCACAGCTCCCACCTGTTCTCCACTCTTGCACAGTGATCTGAGGAGCTGAGTCAGCAGAGGAGCGATCAGTGTGTGCTACACATTATTGCTTCTTTGAATATTGATTATATGAGTTGGACAGTGCTCACTCTGCTTGAGTTAATAGAGGTCTTACAGAAGTAAGGAGTGCTAGGTGCGGTGGCTCACTCCTGCAGTCCCAGCACTTTTCATAGGAGGATGCTTAAGCTCAGGACCAGCCTGGGCAATATAGCAAGACCTCGCCTCTACTAAAAATCAAAAACATTAGTTGGGCGTGATGGCACACACCTATAGGCCCAGTTACGTGGGAGGCTGAGGCGTGAGGATCGCTCACCTCCGGAAGAGTGAGGCTGCAGTGAGCTCTGATCATACCACTGCACTCCAGCCTGAGTGAAAGAGTGAGACCCTGTCCCAAAAAATAAAATTTTAATTTTTTTTTAAAGTAAGGAGGGGTGCTGTTAAAGATAGGGAAAGATAACAAAGTGTAGACTGAAAGAGAAAACAAGATTAAAAAAAAACATCTGCCTAGTGAGAACTTTTCAGGCAGTTGAAACTCACATAACTAAGTTAGGGAGCAACAAACTAACACCATCCTCCTTTATGCGGTGCTTTTCTCTCCTTTGTTTGAGGCTTCTCCCCTCATTCACCCAGCCAGGTGATTCCACAGATGGGACTTTTTCCAGTGCAGATCTGCTGGCTCTGTGCTCTGCCTCAGCCCTTCTCACCTGCCTTCTTGAGTGCCCAGCCCCACACCTCCACTTACTCTCCTTTTCTGGCTCCTGCAGATGGATTAAAGGAGCCTAGCCCTAGGCCAGTGAAGGGACTGGAGCTCTGGTCCTCACCTTGGCCGAGCATGAGAATCCTCTGGTGACATTTTCCAAAGTTCAGGTGACCACCTCTGTACAGAGCTGCAGAATCAAGAGTCTAGAACAGGTAGGTCACAAATATCTGCATCTTTACATTTTACCCCTCAGGTGATTCTCATGCACAGCTAAGGTTGAGAATCAGTAGACCACATGTTCAAAATTCTAGAGGCATGAGACAGGTGCAGTAGTCTTAAGACATGCACCCGTAGTCCCGGCTACTCACTGTACTCCAGCCTGGACAACAGAAAAACCCTGTGTCTTTACAAAAAAAAAAAAAAAGACACAACTAAACTAGTGTTGAGGAAACAGAAACTCGAAAGCAAGGAAATGAAGACGCAAACAGGCTCTGAACAAGCTCTCACCTGAGTGGGCTGCAGGTTTTGGGGGAAGAGCTAGACAGGGGCCTCCTCGAGGCTCCAGCCTTCTACTTCTAACATGAGCACTTGCTTTGTAATCATTCATTGCCCTTGCCCAGTTCACGCACTCTTCTATATGTATGTATATGATGTTTTATAATAAACAATTCAAATCTTGGCTCTTCACCATTCCATGGGTACTAGCCCCATTTTCTCCAACTATAAAGTAGCAACATTTTAATATACTTCTCAGGATTATTGTGGGAATTAAATAAGTAGAGGAAATGCCGGGCATGCTTATCAGTAGGAATCCTCCCCGTTTTCCATGACTCCCCTGCTCGCTTTTCTTTCTCCCACCTGCTGTTACTGACCCCAGCACACCTCAGGCCTTTCTGGAAAGCTAGATGCTTTATTCCTTTAAGTTCCTTCCTGATATGTTCCTGCCAACTTTTCAGGAATATTTTCCACAGTGGTGGGAAATAGAGCTGGGAGGCATCTGGGAGGAGACCCAGACTCCCTGGCTGGCTTTTTTTCCTTCCCTGGGCTTTTAAACTTAGAAAGTCCCAGGGCTGGGCCCCTGGACAGCCGTCTCTTCCTCCCCAGGAAAGCTCACTAGTTGAAACTACCATTCGCTACTAAAGACTCAAAAAAAAAAAAGTATCCCCTGCCCTTACCTCTGAGCACTGAGCTCCAGAGTTACACATCAGCTGTTAGTTGACATCTCCTTCTGGTTGTCCAAGACACATCAAACTTAACTTCCAAAACCAAATACTTATTCCTCTCCATAACGGAACCCCCATTCTTCAGAATTCTTAGAAAATGGCACATCACTATCCACCCCACTGTTAAAAGAAAAACTTGGAGCCGGGTGTGGTGGCTCATGCCTATAATCCCAGCACTTTGGGAGGCCAAGGTGGACAGATCACCTGCAGTCAGGAGTTCAAGACCAGCCTGGCCTACATGGTGAAACCTCATCTCTACTGACATACAAAAATTAGCAGGGCACAGTGACGGATGCCTGTAATCCCAGCTACTTGGGAGGCTGAGGCCGGAGAATTGCATGAACCTGGGAGACGGAGGTTGCAGTGAGCCGAGATCACGCCATTGCACTCCAGCCTGGGCAACAAGAGCAAAACTCCATCTCTAAAAAAAAAGAAAAATTTGAGCTTCATCCTTGATTTCCTCTGTTTCCACCAGTATCCCACAAGTCCAATTGATGGTTTCATCACAACATACTTCAGCTCATCTCTATTTGTACAGCCCCATTACCACCACCCCCATACAGGCCACAGACAACTGCTCTGCCCCCTGCTTCTACCCCTGTACACTTTCATCCAGTCTCCACCCAGCAGCTGAAGCAGTCATTTAAAAATAACAGACCATTTTTCATTTCTTTCCTGCAGAATGCCCCCTGGTAGCCCTTCAAATCGGTGTTACCCAGGCCCTCCCCGAGTTGTCCCCTGCCCACCTCTATTCTCTTCTCCCCCTGCTTGCTGCAGCCCAGCTTCACTGTCCCTGTGTAGTGCTCTTCCCTGAGGAGACTCTGGTTTGTCATTCAGGGCTCTACACCAATGGCATTCTAGATACCCCCACCCAAGGAACCCTCAGTCACATTACCCTGCTTGATTTTCTCCATGACACTTAGTCATCACCTGATGCATGTTGTCAGGTTTTGTTCCTCCGTGGTAAGCCCCTGAGGGCAGCGTCTTGTTCCCTATTCTGTTACCAGCCCAGACCAGGTGCAGCACTGCTGCAGTGTCTGAACACCCATCCCACCAGCTGGCAGATTGTCATGGCTTTTGTTTATCGATCTAGTAGGATTAGAATTAACCACCCAGAAAAGAAGAGCATAATACGTCAGAATGATGTTTCCATCCAGGCGTCGTTTCAGTTAGCAGAGTTGTTGAGGCACCTGTACCGGAGACAGTCATCTGTCCATCAGAGAATTGCTGCTTTTCCTCTGAGC